CCCTCCCCCCACCCCCCCCCCCCCCCCCCCACCCACCCGCCCATCTAGCCAAACATCTAGCCATTCACCTACCCCGCCAGCCACCCAACCAGCCACCCGCTCATCCAGCCACCTACCCAGCCACCCACCCATCTAGCTGCCCACCCATTTGTCTACCTGTTGTTCACCCAGCCACCTACCCACACATTGACCCATCCCTGCACCCACTCATCCTCTCATGCATCCCCTCCCCTGTGCACTGTGCCTGGAGCTTCCACAGAGTGGCAGGCACTGCTCAGGGTGCCTGGGATGTATTTTTCAAATGGGACAAAAGCAGTCTCTGTGATCTTGTCACCTGTGAATTGGGTGCTTTTAGAATGGGTGATCATTGCAACCTAATTCAGCTGGGGGGAATTGATAGTGTAGTGTCTTGTTATGAAAATATACTCCCTGTCTTTCAAATGTACTCATTGACTGTTTCGTTACCTATAGGATTCTGCTTCAGGAAAAAAGAAATTGTCTACTCATGCAGCTGGAAGAAGCCACCCGCCTGACATCCTATCTGCAGTCCCAGTTAAAAAGGTAGGTTCTTTTCAAAGAGAAAACTGTATTTGATCATTGTGTTCCAATGACTGGTATAGGAACTTTTCTCTGAGCTTATTTTTCTCCCACTGGAGCTTAGCCTGAAGTGTTGTTAGCACAGGATAGAAGAGTGGATACATTATATTTTTCACATGCTACTGTGTGACTCAAGGAATATGGAGAGAACCAAATTTGGCTTCAGGTTAAATAAGAGGCCTGAAATCAAATGTATTCAAGGATTTTGTAATCTGATTAACAGCTTCAGAAGTATACATCTATACATGTGCCCATTTTTATTCTATTTTATTTTTAAAAGATATGAATATTTTTAAGATAGTAAGATTTGGCTGCTCCAGAATGGCCCTGTGCATGTTCTTCAGCCCTCACTGTATGGTAGAGCACAATGTCAAGGGCCTTAGATGTGTCATTCTCACAGTTATTCGTCCTAACCATGCCCGAGGTGGGAACTGTTCTCATCCCAGCCCTAGTGAGCCTGTGGGAGTCCCAAGGGGGTGAATGGCTTGACCAGGTGTACCTGGCTAGTATGCATTCCAGCTGGGACTGGGACTGTGACTTGGGCACGGGATCTGCTGTTGCCTACTGCTCTCTGCCACCCTTTCCGTACTCACAGGGTGAGCAGGGGGTGGCTGCCTTGCCATCTCAGATGGCCATGCTGTCTCATTTCAGCCTGTGTGCCAGCACCCTGACGGTGTCCTCGGGGAGCAGCCGCGGGTCCCTGGCCTCCAGCCGCGGGTCTCTGGCCTCCAGCCGGGGCTCCCTGAGCTCAATCAGCTTCACTGACATCTACGGCCTCCCACAGTACGAGAAGCCCGACACTGAGGGCAGCCAACTTCTACGCTTCGACCTCATTCCCTTTGACTCGCTGGGGCGAGATGCCCCTTTTTCAGAGCCCCCAGGCCCCTCGGGCTTCCACAAGCAGAGGCGGTCCCTGGACACGCCCCAGTCCCTGGCGTCGCTGTCTTCCCGCTCCTCCCTGTCCTCACTGTCACCCCCAAGCTCGCCCCTGGACACACCCTTCCTCCCTGCCTCACGGGACTCGCCACTGGCGCAGCTGGTGGACAGCTGTGAGGGGCCAGGCCTGGGTGCCCTGGACAGACTGCGGGCACATGCCTCAGCTTTGGGGGACGAAGACTTGCCGGGCATGGCGGCCCTTCAGCCACATGGGGTCGCTGGAGACGGGGAAGGGCCACAGGAGCGAGGACCCCCACCAGCCAGTGCTCCTGTGGGCGGAAGTAAGTGTGGACGAAGCCTCCTGTGGGGAGAGGGTTACCTGCAGGGAGAAAACCATGGGGGCCAGAGTGAGGGCGGCTGGCTTTCCAGGTCCATGGTGAGCTTTATGTTTAAGAATATTGATGGGATCAGGAAGAGCACACACCTGCTCTTTCTGGTCTGTGTTGGGGAAAGATCATTGAAATTGACAAAGTTGTCTTTCCTAGGTATTTGGCTTGTTTTCAAAAAGTAATTGTTGAAAACCAGGGTAAGAAGCACACACTCTTCTACATTCAGAGGCTTCTAGAGATGGACCAGGGCGTTCATGACCTTTGCAGTGTGTGTCTGCCATAGATCACTACACCAGCTGCTGTCTGGCTGCAGCCAGTGGAAATCTTGACTTCTTTTGTGGCATCAACATCATCTCTTTATCTTTTATAGTTCTCATAGTTTTCAAGAATGTAATTCTATCAAATGTGGAAGTGAAAATAATTGTGTAATTTCAAAAGACATGCCTATAAATATCAGTCATTTCTGCTGAATTGGTTTCTCAGGTGGTTCTTCAAATCAAGAAACATGAGGTCTGTGGAGCCTCATCCATGCAGTTGGTGTTAGTTCAACTCCTCCCTGGAGCCAGGGTCTTTCAGCTTGGAGCCTGCTTAGAAAATCAAACTGCTATTGAAGGGAATATTGACCCCCATATGCTTTCCTGAGCCAGCCTGTGGCAACTTGATCTTCCTTTGGTTTTAAGGATGAAGTTCAGCCCGTTTAATTGAGTTATTTGCACAGCAAAAATGTTTTCAACGTTCTATTTAGACAAACACTAGATAATTCGTGCAGCAGAGTGGATCTCAGCCAGGGGTGTTTTTGCCTCCTGCTCCTGGGGGACACTTGGCAATGTCTGTAGACATTTTTGATTATCACAACCAGGGGGTGAAAGATGCCCTGGCATCTAGCAAGTGGAAGCCAGGGATGCTGCTAAGCACCCTACCACACACAGGACAGGCCCCCTCAACCCCCAAGAGAATGTTCCATCCTTAAATGTCAAGAGGGCTGAGGCAACTAGAGAGCAGAACCAGTGTGGTGTAGTGGAAACTGCTTCAGTGTAGAACCTGGAAGGCCAAGATTTTGTTCCTGCCCTGTCCACTCCTAGCTGTGTGACCTTGAACACATCCCTGGACTGAGTCTCACCTTTTCCACCCTTGAATGCAGTAACCTTTGTGACCCCTTCCATTCAGCACCATTCTGTTACCCAAGAGATAGATGGATCGGTAGATCATAGATAGGTTGATCATCTCTATAAAATAGTAGTCTGTTGACTCTTATGTGCATAACGAGAGGCCATCATGTTCTGAGACTGCCCCGTGGCTTTTTGGCATCTGTTATTTTTGTGTCTGCCCCTGTGTTTACAAACACACTTTGGTATCCCCAGATACCTTGTTTCTGAAGTCCACATGTGCAGGTAACCTTCATTCACTATGTTCTTCTTTATAACCACAGCTTCATCGCTCCATGTTTATTCCATTCAGTCAAAAAAGAAATATCCAATCAGGACTTTTTTCTTAGTCTCCCTCCTCTCCCCCTACCATCTTCTCCTTAAGGGATTGAGATTCCAGAATTCAGTCAGGTTAGGCATAAAATCTGCACAAGGCCCAAGGGCCCCTTTGGGTCCGAGGAGAGGCAGAGTGGGAGGGAGAAGGGCTGATTTAGTTTCATATCCTGATTTCTTTATTTTTCCTTCACTTTCTATGGCAGGTGCTATAATAGTTCAAACTTCTTAGATTGGAAAGTATCTCCTTACATGTGTAGACACTACCATCTGGTGGTGGAGTCTTACATGTGATTCGTGATGATTTCTTGTATTCGTGATGATTTCTTGTGTTACACTGCCATCTTGTGGCACATTCGTATATGACATTGGTGATGAATTCTTATATAACACTGCCATCTGGTGGCAGATACTTATATGACACTGCCGATAAATTCCCGAGTGACACTGCCCTCTGGTGGTAGATTCTTACATGATCTAGGTGGGGAAATCTTGTGTGACACTGCCACCTAGAGGTGGGTTTTTATGATACTGCCATCTTGTGCTGGTTTCATATATTACATCGTTCTAAGGACATTTATTTGTGTCGTTAGAAACTTGAAATAATTGACCCTGTTGGGTGTCCCCAGAGGGCCAGGTTGGGTAGCCAGCTTAGGCATGAACGCAGGGGGTTCCTTGCTTCACTGACGCTGTGGGAATGGCTGAGCCTAGTGGTGCTCATCATATCATCCCACCGCATCCTCTGTCAGCTGTGCTGGGAACTGTGTGGTCTAGTTTGGCCCTCAGCACATCTTAGTAAGACAAAATTTTTGTAAGATAAAAATCAAAGTTGTCAAGATCTGCCAAGGAGCCTCTGAATGATTTCTTCCTTGTGTTTTCAATCAATTGGAGGAAGCAGAAGGCAGGTCAGAGGAGTGTACACTGTAATCTTTCATGCTATTTACGTTTTTGCTAAGTTTTGTCTTCCCTGAACTTTAAAAGTCAGATGTGTTATAATTATGAAATACCTAGGTATTTTCATCTACCCATTAGTATTTACTAATCAAAACCCATAAAAATCTTGACTTTGGTCATCTATTTATTGATATTTTATGATATTGATACTCTAATGTTGCTGGCCTAAATTCTGCAGTGTTTTCACTTTGTGCTTTTT